GTCCGGATTATGGGTGTCCGAATTAACGACTTTTGACTGTATAGCGATGTCTAAACAACTTATTTTTTTAAATAATATTTGTAATATTAGAATTTAGGGAAGGCAGTAGGAGGCAAAATTTTTAGATAGAGAGGTACCTCCCAATTCCAAAATCGATATGTTACTGGCATGTTAATTCTTTTATTGATATTAAGATTTTTAATATAAACTAAAATATACACTATATATACACTAAAAATATAAGTATCTAACTAAGAATAAATATAGCATGATATTTAATGAAATACCCATTAGCTAAGAACCTCTCTTCTTTTTCAGCACCACAATATTTGCCACTGCATACAGTATACTAATACAGGAAGTCACACAGAGTACAGTAGTACAGGGAGACATTTAAAAAAAATCCTGTATATTTAACTTTTTTTCATTTTTAACAAGTAACTGGGACAAAATGACAGACTGGCTGGGCCACCAGGACCACACCTTCAAAGTGGGACAACTCCAGTCAAACTAAGATGTCTGGTGATTTCATTTAAAATGATAAACACATAATTAAAAGTAAGTAGTGTTTTGAACAAATACATTTATATTTCTCTAGTTAAATTACTTGTATAAAAAAATGTTGCATAACATTTTATTCAAATTTAGGAAAAAAAATCCGTAGTCACACAGCAGCAGGCATATGTAAAACCATTGGCAGACACAATTACTCAAACTTTTTTTTAATGATTCAATCAAATATCTCTAACTTTCCAAGTTATCATAAGGTACCTTATCATAACTTGCCTTATCATAACTTTTCCAAGTTATGATAAGGCAGCTTAAGATCAATATTCCAATCCATAAAAATAAAATTTGGTTGATCTTTACAATATGGTAACTGGTAGTTTGGCGACATTTTGGAGGCGATAAAGGTTACTACCTGGGACTTTGGTAATAATGTGAGCAGTACTCAGTTCCGATTACGCATTATTTTGCGTGAGGGAAATGAGAGATCATGGGATATGTCATGTGATATTAATGCACGAATTACGGTTCTTTAATCGGAAAAGGAGGAAAATCGGGAAAAAATCTGGAAATTTTGTATTTAGCTTTATTCTGTGTTGTGTGAAACAGGGTTGGTTAATTTTTGGATCCCGTGGCCCTAACTAAAATGAATTCGAAATGGGTATTTAGGCATTGTGATAAAGAGAAGTTTGCTTTTTATTTAGCGGAGGAAGTATGGAGGAAAAATTCGCAGAAAAAATAATAATTTTATTGAATGAATTAGAAAAGTGTATCCGCCACGTAATCAAGATTCTGAAGAAGATTAGGTAAGTTAGTATTTTTAATTATTTGAGGATATTATTTTTATGCATTGTTCTAAATGTAAGGTGGAAAGGAATTTGGTATTATTGGGAAAATTGTTATTAGCAATGATTTAGTTTAAAGTAATTAGGATTGTAAGGTAATTTTTATTACTTTAATGTATGTGCTCATTTATATTTTAAGTAGTGTTTTTGAATTAATTATATTTTAATGAAATGATAGTTATTTTGTGAATTTTATGTTTGTAGGAATTTGGTATATATACGTTTTAGTTGAAGTAAACGTGCATGGAAATAATTAAAATATCTGACACTAAGTATTTGTAATGGTTAGCGGTATGAATTCGTTGGTGACGTTTATAATATAATAGATGATTTAGAGGTAAAAGTTTTTGAATATTTTATTTCTTTTATATGTGGAAATGTTCATATTTGGGAAGGGTAAATACGTTTTCGCGATCAGGTAATTTCACATATGTTCTTTTTACCGGGTTTAAAGATTGAGAAAATTGTCATGTATTTTCGTGAAATTTTCTAATTTATGAGAAAAAAGCAGTGTACATGGATATAGAGAAGAGTGTGCGCAATGCCATTTTTGTGCAATTGTGGGATGTCTTTTTAAGTAAAAATAAGTCGACGTGTACATGGTTTAGTGATATTTTAATTAAATGATAGTTATTTTGTGAATTTTATGTTTGTAGGAATTTGGTATACGTTTAAGTTGAAGTAAATGTGCATGGAAATAATTTAAATATTTGATACTAAGTACAGTCAAAAGTCGTTAATTCGGACATTCGTAATCCGTAATGATCTATAATCCGGACCTCAGAGCTAAAATCTTTCTGCGCATGCGCAGCATTGACGCATGCGCATAGGCGTTTTACTCGTGTGCGCAAGACATTTACGACTGCGCATATGCATCTGCGCAAGTGCAGAATACGTTTTCGCGTGCGCGTTTAATGTATGACGGACGGTATAAGCTAAAATTATCTAATTATATATTTCAGTTAATGTTGATAATTGCGTTGTTCCTTAATCTTCAAATTGGATCCGGCTTATTATTTTTTGCAGACTGTAAGAGCAATTTTCTAAAAGTAAGCTTGAACTTTCGATTATGTCAAATAGAATTTCCGATGCTGGAGCTCCCAAAGGATCTAGAAAACGAAAGTATGTTTCGATGTCCATCAAACAAAAAACGAATTGCTACAAAAAATGAATAAAAGCATATCCTTTGTTTATCTAACCGTTCCGAAATTTGTTTATCAATTTCACGCTGCTTTGCGCGGGGGGGGGCACGTCGCGGCGCGCAATGAACTGGAATTTGATCTGTCAACACTATCGTTATCTTCAGGGCAGATGTTTTTATTCTAGTCGGCTTATAATTCCTTACTAAATGTAGTATTTAATTTCGATGTACTCCGTCTTTGATATGATTTAAATCAAATTCCTCGTCATTATAAATATCACGAATACAAATCACATAGTTTTCTGGTTGCAATTTTCTAATTTCGGCTATGAGTAAGGTATGCTTTACGCATCCGCGCGTTAAAAGAAATGTTTAATAAAGTAAACAAATAAATATTAGGCTTCTTTTTTGGTAAATTTGGATACTCTTTAGATCATAATTGCTCATTATTTTATAAATTACGGTTTCATATTTTTAGTTTTATAATTTCTGCATGCCATCTTACCAGATTTAAACTGATGATCTATAATCTGGAAAAATCGATAATCCGGAATCGCCGAAGTCCCGACGAGTCCGGATTAAAGACTTTTGACTGTATTTGTAATGCTTGCGGTATGAATTCGTTGGTGACGTGTATATGTAATAGATGATTTAGAGGTAAAAGTTTTTGGATATTTTATTTATTTTATATGTGGAAATGTTCATATTTGTAAAGGGTAAATACTTTTTCGCGATCAGGTAATTTCATATATGTTCTTTTTACCGGGTTTAAAGATTGAGAAAATTGTCATGTATTTTCGTGAAATTTTTCTAATTTATGAGAAAAAAGCAGTGTACATGGATATAGTGAAGAGTGTGCGCAATGCCATTTTTGTGCAATCGTGGGATGTCTTTTTAAGTAAAAATAAGTCGACGTGTACATGGTTTAGTGATATTTTAATTAAATGATAGTTATTTTGTGAATTTTATGTTTGTAGGAATTTGATATACGTTTAAGTTGAAGTAAATGTGCATGGAAATAATTTAAATATTTGATACTAAGTATTTGTAATGCTTGCGGTATGAATTCGTTGGTGACGTGTATAATGTAATAGATGATTTAGAGGTAAAAGTTTTTAGATATTTTATTTATTTTATATGTGGAAATGTTCATATTTGTAAAGGGTAAATACTTTTTCGCGATCAGGTAATTTCACATATGTTCTTTTTACCGGGTTTAAAGATTGAGAAAATTGTCATGTATTTTCGTGAAATTTTTCTAATTTATGAGAAAAAAGCAGTGTACATGGATATAGTGAAGAGTGTGCGCAATGCCATTTTTGTGCAATTCTGGGATGTTTTTTTAAGTAAGAATAAGTCGGCGTGTTTATGTGTATGTGTTATTTTTCGGTCGGCGTGTTTATGTGTATGTGTGGTTTATGTGTATGTGTTATTTTGAAAAACGCGCAAGAAGTATGGTATTGTGCACTTTTTCCCAATTCTGCAGTGAATATTTGTCATGATTAAGCAGTTTTGTTTGATAAAATTTCTAGCATAAGTGTAATTTGGCTAGTAGATTGTTGGAAGAAGTGTTCAGTAGATAAAAAGAAAAGAAACATGTCTTTACTTCGTGAAGACAAAATGGCGGCGGGGAAAAAAAAATAGAGGGTTGCTGTAGGAGAGTTGGTTGCCAAATTTTCGCCAAAAAATCGCCAAGTTACCATAATGTAAAGATCAACCTAAAATTTTTGCTCACAATTATCGGAATTAAGCTTTTTAAACTTGCTATAGGTATTGTTTTCATACTGCTTTAATTCTTGACAAAATTTAAAAACAATGGAAAAATTAATTACATAGTACAAGAGATGAGCATCGTTATGCCACATACTATGAGTGAAATGTAGGAATATAAGAAAAGTACAGTATAGTAAAAATTTTACAAAATTGAGAGAGAAGCTACCCATTTTTACAGCTACATAAAAAATAGGATAGGAAACTTATTTTTTTAAGGCTCAATAGCTTCAAAGTATAATCTATCCACAGCACACAAACAATAAATATTGTTTGTGAATTGAATGTCACAAAAAATCGTTTACTTAATCACTAACGTTTTACACATTTTTTTTACAAAATAATTAAATATTCCCATCACTTTCATCCAAAACAAGGACAATCCACAATTATCTTGAATGTGATCAGGAACTACTTTAGACAAGATAATTTCTGTCATTTATATAATCATTCAGATTATATATGCATTTATAATAAGACAAGCATTTTATTCTATGGACATTTACAGTGCTTCTTACAAGCTAAAATTGCAAACATTACCTTTGGCAGTTACAGTAACTAGATGTGAATTTTGATTGAGAATTAGTACCATTACATAATTTGTTTACTCTTTTATAATCAAAATATTAAAATCATACTCTTTTGCTTTAACCTGAATTAATTTTGATGTTCAGTATCAAGCAATAGTTATGTTTTCTAGCAATTATTAAAAAATTAATAAGAAACGATTTTATTACCTTTCTTAGTTCTACATTTCATCAAGGCAGTGTAACATTCTATCAGTAGAGATATTCAAGCTTACACAATCTGTTAAAAAACGGGTAAAAAAAAAATTTTAATCAGCAATAGCATCCCTCAGTATACTGATGAAATAAATCTATTTTTTAATACGTTTACAAGAACAAACCATATTTAAAATTCTTAATAGTAATAATGTTAATAAAACTTTAAAAAATCTTTTTAGCTACAATTAGATCTTTTTCACAATGAACATAAGTTACGAATTTTAACAGAAACAGACTGTCCGTTCAATAATTTCACGTTACACTGAATACTGCGATTATAAAAACAGTAGGTAAAGACATGTATTTCATTTGAAATTGCAGTAAATGTCACAAAATATAACTAATATGAGATATAAGTATTATATTTATTTGAAACGATTTTCACAGAAGTGTTTGCTCTCTAGTTAATTCGCAAAGAACGGATGGAAAAAAACCTGAACTTCATCAAAAATTGATCATTATTTACCTTTAAGTTTAATATTACATTTAGGTCGCATTCGAAGAATGATGAATGTTTCCTCCGTCGGTACACTAATATATCATTGTAATGAAAATACAGTGAGGATATATAAGCGAATTTGCTTTCTTTTAGCAAGCACAAACAGTCAAATTATTCATTCAAAGACGGTCTGTTACGTAGGCTTGACAATGTACGAACTGTATCATGTCGTCTACAACAGCTATACGTGACGTCATACGTAAAGCTGTGATTTTCATCTTCAAAGTAGACATTGATTGATTGATCTCAATGTTTTTTTTTTTACTTTTCTGTCTACTGTCTTTTAAATTTAAATGAGTTTAAAGGTCTGTTTATTACGCCAGATAATCAGAATTTTTCAAAATAATTACAACTTCTCTTTTAAAATAGAAACAAATATAAATTATTCTTACAAAATTTGATTTAAAAAACAAATTCATTTCCTTAAATAAAAATGAATATCCCTCTAGAAAAATCTAAGAAAAAATTCCCTGTCTTTTGTTTTAATCCTTTGTAATGTTTTCTTCATTATATAATGTATATTTCTAGTGGGCCAAAGATTATTTCCTAAAGACGTTCTTAAAGATGAAGACTAAAATTAATTTTAAGACAGAAAAGAACAATTTTCTATAAAATGAAAAAGAAGAATTCCATAAAATATTTTATAATAGTTAGCTATATTTTATGGAATTTGTTGTTTTATCTGCGCATCACTCAAATTTTACGTTTAAGAGATTTATAAAAGATTTCTTCTGTAAGCCAGTGATTGTTTCTCTGACAGCTGAAAATTTCGAGAAAGATAGTTCTAATAACTGATAACACTCACTCAAGAATTTTTTAAAACATTATTTAGCAACTTTTTTTTTTTTTTTTTTTTTTAATTAAGAAAGCCACATTCTGGTGGTATTTTTACTTTTAGTACAAGCAAAGCAGCTGTAACACGAGTATCATATCTCATTAATTTTTCAAGAATCAATGCAAACATATAAAAAATTTCCGTCAATCAATCAAAATAAAGAGATTAAAACATCAGTCATTATATGTGATTAAAAATGTTTCACACATTTTGCGAACATATGTCTGTTATTAAAATTATCTGACAAAGTGAGTTAGATTTCGTTCTTTAAACAATGTCAGAAGAAGTTTATTATCTAACATCTGTTTCCTTTGCTCCAAGTTACTTTTTTAAAAGCTAAATCTAGAAATTCCCTGATTAGACAATCCGTGCTATCGCTTGCGATCTTTGCTCCCTGGTGGTAAGAACTTTCATTGTTGTAGTTAGATAGATAAATAGCATCTTGTGATCTATAGGGAGTAGCTTTGTTTATTTTGTTTTGTTTTTGGCAAAGAAAGTTTCAACCAATCTGAGGTGATGGTAATGTGAAAGTTCGTGTTTTGAAAGCAGTTGCAATCATGTGATTTAGTTTAGATTAATCACGTAAAAAAATTTTTAATGTGATTTGTCGTTATCAGAGTGCATTTAGCGTTATTTTAAAAGCCAAGTTTCTAATTTTTATTACTTCTAACTTTTGTCTAGGTCGTCCTATATGAAAATATGGTATGCTGTTAAATTATTTTAACGAAAAGTATTATTTTCTTATTTACGTCATTTATTAATGATTTTTTATTCGCCAAATTTAATTTCTTGATCGTATTATTGTTCTAGGCCTTTACATTGCAATGCCTCGCTGTCTTTTTGATTTCGTTTTTTACAATCAACTTTGCTCATCCGGATGAAGTAAAGACCTTACCCGGTCTCAAATACTCTATAAATTTTAAGCATTATTCTGGATATCTGAATGCTACTAATGGAAAATTTCTTCATTATTGGTAAACTGTTTTTTAAATCTATATCTGTGCGAGCTCTTTCCAGATATTTGTAACTTACGTATTAATAAATTAAGCAGTTTTTTTTTTAAGTTTTATTTATAATATTAAATCTTTTAGATGAACGATTGTAAATGAATTAATGAAATCAGGATCAGTATGTGAATCTAAATCTAGTTGTTATTTGTTGCTTGACGAGTATAAATTTGTTTGTAATATTAAAGAAGTGTTTACCAATGCAGTTAATTACTGAGCTATGTAAAAATATAACTTTGGCACTATTAATAGTATTTCAAAATATACCTTCTTCATAAACTATCAGTTACGTAAGATGTTGGACTTTTTTTTAATATATTAAAACGTGTGTGAAATTTTTTTATTGTATTTTTACAAATTACTTGCTTCTGAGAGAAGAAATTTACCAATATATATATAACATTTTAACTGTGCTTCTAAGTAGACTGTGAGTAGACTCATTAGGCAAAAAACTTTATATATGTGCCTGATGGATCTATTTCTACAAGAAAAACCACTTTCTTACTACCTTCATGTGAGCAAAAGTTTGTTATCAGGAATATGTTAAATACTGAAAGGCGTGGAGGGTTGGCGTTTGAATAAATATGGCAAAGCATATGAGAGATATCTTCATGGAGAACTTTAAATAGGAATTCTGGCTGATATTTCAACACACGTGGGAAAAACCACATAACACTCTTATATCTAGCCTCTACGTTGAAATTTAAGCCTAGATTAAACTACCAGTACTTAAAGTATCATCCACTCGGCCACTGATGGATCATTTAAATCAGAAAAACCTTTGACTTTATAGTGCAGTTAAAAATAGATGAAATAGTCAGTGGTTAAGAAATATAGATGAAGTAGTATGCAGTCAAAAGTCGTTAATCCGGACTCGTCGGGTCTTCGGCGATTCCGGATTACAGATCATCAGTTTATCTCGTAAGATGGCATGCAGAAATTCTAAAATTAAAAGTATGAAACTGTAATTTATGAGATAAAAAACAATTATGATCTAAAGGGTATCAAAATTTACAAAAAAAAAAAAGCTTAATATTTATTTGTTTACTTTATTAAACATTTCTTTCAACGTAAGTTGTTTAAGTTGCTTCATTTTATGTGATAATACTTTCTCTTTAATTCTATAAACAGACATAATTTCATGTTCAGTTACAAAGTTCCGCTGTTCAAGTCCCATAATTGCCGTGCCGAGAATACCGACTAACTTGTCAATCGAAAGTTTTCCGTTTTCACTAACCTCTCTGTCACCTTCTTCATGTCTTTATCCATTTTTTGCAGCAATTCTACTTTTTGTTTGACAGACATTGAAACATACTTTCGTTTTTAGATCCTGAGAGCTCCAGCATCAGAAATTCTATTTGACTTAATCGAAAGTTCAAGTTTACTTTTATAAAATTGCTCTTACAGTCTGCAAAACATAATAAGCCGCATCCAATTCAAAGATTAAGGAACAACGCAATCATCAACATTAACTGAAATAGATACAGTCAAAAGTCGTTAATCCGGACTCGTCAAGACTTCGGCGATTCCGGATTATCGATTTTTCCGGATTATAGATCATCAGTTTAAATCTCGTAAGATGGCATGCAGAAATTTCTAAAATTAAAAAATATGAAAACCGTAATTTATGAAATAAAGAACAATTATGATCTAAAGGGTATCAAAAAGCTTAATATTTATTTGTTTACTTTATTAAACATTTCTTTCAATGTAAGTTGTTTAAGTTTTGCTTCGTTTCATGTGATAATACTTTCTCTTTAATTCTATTAAACAGACATAATTTCTTGTTCAGTTACAAAGTTCCGCCGTTCAAGTCCTATAATTGCTGTGTCAAGAACACCGACTAATTTGTCAATCAAAATTTTTTCGTTTTCAATAACCTCTGTCACTTTTCTTCACTATCGGAAGCGAATTATAATGACGAGGAACTTGTTTTAAATCATATCAAATACAGAGCATATTGAGATGAAATACTACATTTGGTAAGGAATTATAAGCCAAATAAAATAAAAACATCTGCGCTGAAGATAAGGATAGTGCTGACAAATCAACTTCCAATTCATTACGCGCCCGCCACCGCGTTCCCCCCGCCGAGCAGCGTGAAATTGATAAACAGATTTTGGATTTCAAAACATACTTTCACTTTAGATCCTTTACATATTAACAAATATATATCGGAAATTCTATTTGATATAATCGAAAGTTTAAGCTTACTTTTATAAAATTGCTCTTACAGTCTGCAAAAAATAATAAACCGGATGCAATTCAAAAATTAAGGAACAACGCAATCATCAACATTAACTGAAATAGATAATTAGATAATTTTAGCTTATACGTCCATTATACATAAAATGCGCACACGAAAACGTATTCTGCACTTGCGCACACTCATATGCACAGTCGTAAAAGGTCTTACGCGCACGCGTAAACGCCCTGCGCATGTGTCAACGCGGCGCATGCGCAGAAAGTTTTTAGTTTTGAGGTCCGGATTATAGATCATTCCGAATTATGGGTGTCCGAATTAACGACTTTTGACTGTAATTAGATAATTTTAGCTTATACCGCCCGTTATACATTAAATGCGCACACGAAAACGTATTCTGTGCTTGCGCACGTGCATATGCGCAGTCGTAAAGGTCTTATGCGCACGCATAAACGCCTATGTGCAGAAAGTTTTTAGCTTTGAGGTCCGGATTATAGATCATTCCGGATTATGGGTGTCCGAATTAACGACTTTTGACTGTATATTTTTTTACTTCTTTCTGAGAAAGGTAAAATTAAATTAAATTTCTGAGTGGGGTTGAAGCTGTAAAAAAGAAAGTAGGTACTATGTTATTGCATTAGCTTAAGAGGTACATCAAAAATAAGTTTATATGAGTAAAAAGCAAGCTCGAATTAGATTGGAGTGGTGTCATTTCAAACTTTGGAAGCATTTATCATTTGTAACCATAGTGGTATTAAAAGTATTATTTGTATATAAAACTAGAGAACTTTCCTTTTGAATTAACATCTGTTTACAAATACAAAAAAACTACGAGTGAAAATGTGCTTTACTCCACTTCTTGTCACTAAATTTGACATATTTCTGTGCAGTAGCTCCTGAAAAGTTAGAGGAGGAGGCTCTATGAATAAACTGGCACAAAATTGACACAGTGAAGTGTGAAAAATACAGATTTATCGTCCAGAAAATATGAGGTTTCTCTCTTACCTCAGTTTCCCATTTCATCTTTTTTTCATCAGTGGATAAAACTTGATAATGTCCAAGAGAAATCTGTGAAAAGCACCATCTTTCATACAATGATTGTAAAGAAAAATAGAACTTGAACTCATTTCCACATGAAGTTGAAGGAACATGCAATGGCTAATCTTTGGAATATGGTAACAGGTAGTTTGGTGACATTTTGGTAAGGCGATAAAGGTTACTAACTAGGACTTTAGCAGTTTACATGGATAAAGTCAAGAGTGTGTGCAATGCCATTTTTGTGCAATTATGGGATGTTTTTTTAAGTGAAAATAGGTCGACGTGCACATGGATACCGTGTATGTGCAATTCTTAGAAATGCGCGGCAAGCAGTTTGCGATTCTGCACTTTCTCCCAATTTTGCACCTAATCTTCGTCATGATTAAGCACTTTTTGTTCCATAAAAGTTCTAGCATAAGCTTAATTCGGCTAGCAGATTGTTGAAAAAAAATTTTGAGTAAAAAAAAAAAAAAAAACATGCCTTTACTTTGTGAAAACAAAATGGCATCCAAACAAAAAAATAGCAGGTTGCTGTAGCAGGGTTGGTCGCCAAATTTTTTCCAAAAAATTGCCAAGTTACCATAATTCAAAGATTAACCCATGCAATTTATTTGCTTGTCATATAAAGGCAGTTAACTTGCAATAAGCAAATATTAAAGTAGAATCAAAGTTTCTTACCTCGTTATGAATAATCCAAACTGTGAATATAAGAAGCACAATTAAAATGTAGAAACATATTTATTATTAGCTGTAAGATAAGTAAAATATTGTGTGGTGATACAAGCATTATCACCTGTTCATAGCAGTATGTAAATGAGGTGTTTTGTCGTGTCAAGTCTGTTTTTAGTTAAAGTAACATCAGGTGGCTTCCTCACTTCCATTTTAAATGGTGTTTGTATATGTGCTTGGTTTTATTTTAGAGATTGCATTTCACTGATGATCGAGTCATTTTTATTGAATTGGTGCACATTCCTATCTGATCTTTGAATTTCAAACTGTGTTTGATATGCAAATGCATATATCTTGTATGCTCCCTGGCAATCTAATATTAAGGTGGTAGTTGGCAGTACCTTAATGATATTCAAAAGGTTCTCTCTTGTTGTTCTTTCAACCTGTCTTAGAAAAACACCTATTTGTTCCCATTTCAGTTCTACCGATAACACACTGTCCAATTACAGGCTTACTTCTTCTATATTTTATTTTTCTAACTTACTTTCATTGGCTTCAACAGTCACACTTTTTCCACCAAGAGGAACACTTCCTGTCTCGTTGAACGAAGTTCAATGAAGTCGGGCTCCTGGGCCAGACCCTATCCCAATAGAGTAAATTATTTTAGTTTTCGAATTTTGAACATAGCATGTAGATGGCATAAAATTTGAGATATTTGGAGCAATTACACGAAGATCATGCGACTAGGTAGAGATGATAACAAATCTTGTGAAGGAGTAGAATGTAAAAGTAAAGTCCATACTATTGAAGAGTGAGAATTTGAGGTGAGACAAAAACATGACGATAATAATTTCAGAGTGTAGCGATAAGCCGTCGTAGAGGAGAATGCGTAGCGAAGTGAGTGAGCTGTGTCTGCAGTCAGAAGGTAGTCAGGATAAGCAGGTCTATGGATGGCGCTGAGGAAGATCATAACTGGGCAAGTTGACCAGTAGTGTGCTGAGTGAAAGGGCAAAGCTCTTTCTATTTCCATACCAATTTTGAAGGACAATCTAAAGAA